CCCCCCCCATTTACCCACCACTCATTTTCTGCTAATCCTTGTCTGTCTGTCTTCCCAACAGAAACAAATGGGGCATACAGTCTACTTTTCATACCTGGCCTTTGACTTGTTGGTTCTGCCAGAGTTGACTCCATTTTCCCTCACTGCTTATTTGGAAGCTACATCAGAGGATATGGTTCTGCCAGAGTTGACTCCATTTTCCCTCACTGCTTATTTGGAAGCTACATCAGGGGATATAGGTCTGTAAACTTGGATGTAATGCAGGAGAATTTGGCCATATTAATGTAATCTGTGACTTGAGCAAACCTTAATGGTTAATTCTACACAAGAACTAAATGAGATGCTATAGCTTTATGCAGTTCTCTCTTCCCCCTTTGCAGTTCCTCCCACTGTCACTGGTAGCTGTGATTTGCAAAACTTCCATGTCTTTGTGAAATACGGCACCAGTGGCTCAAACTTTGAGACTGTAGTGGGGAAACAAGTGCTGACTTCAGATTTGGCTGAGCAGTACAGTTTTGCAGAGAATGGAACACACTTCAGTCTTCAAGTCCCCTATTCATCCCCTAATGTTCTGTTTCAGGTACAGTGGACCAATTTAGCTCAAGTGACAAGTGTGCAGGCCATCTTTTAATTCCTGTGCTTTTGTTCGGTCAACTTGTTAGGCTGTTGAGCCATCATTCATCAGGAGCAGACTTCGTGTGGTTCTGAAGAATCCTGAGACCAGCACGAATATCAAAGAATTTTCATTGGCCTGCAACTTTCCCTCAAGACTGATTGGTTGGTTAAGAGGAAATGAGAAAAATACTTTTTGGTTCCCTGACAAAGAAGTTAAACCAGCGATCTCTTCTTTCAGAGTGTTTCCCTAATGGAACCATTACGGCACTAGCTGTGAAACTGGAATCTGTCCCCAGTCTGAACCCCAGTCATCTCACACTCAGAGACCCCACCTGTGGTCCCTCATTCAGCGACGAGCGCTATGCTTACTTTGTTTTCACTGCAAACACCTGTGGCACAACCAGAAAGGTTTGCATGCTGACAAATACTTTCCTAATGCAGGCTGGCACCAGCTCTTCTGGGAAATTAATGTTCTCTTTTTTTTTTAAAGTTTTTGCGCACTGTGATGCTGTATGAAAATGAAATATCTCTGCCAGGCGTAAATGAATCCGAGGAGAAGCATCGATATGCGTAAGTGTCTTAAATGTTCAACACAATCCCTTCAATTAATGGATTTAACATTAAAGCTTAAATGTTTTCTTTAGATTGAAGATTTCTTGTTACTATAACATCAACACAACAAACACTGTGGGCTTCCACACTAAACCTGGTATGAGTGAACAACTTCCTGAAAGTCCAAAAAGTGAGCTGCCAGTTGCAATGAGACTTGCGTTGGGTAAGGGAAGTTCTCTGTGTGTGTGTGTGTGTGTGTGTGTGTGTGTGTGTGTGGTACATTGAAAGCTAACTTGCACAACAGATGCTTTTTAATATGTTGAACTTTTCCCCTCAAGTTTTAAAAGTAACTACATTAAACTAAAAGGCCTCTGAACTGAATGGAGACATTACAAATTGATCTTGACTCTATTTTCCCTCACTGCTTATTTGGAAGCTACATCAGGGGATATAGGTCTGTAAACTTGGATGTAATGCAGGAGAATTTGGCCATATTAATGTAATCTGCGACTTGAGCAAACCTTAATGGTTAATTCTACACAAGAACTAAATGAGATGCTATAGCTTTATGCAGTTCTCTCTTCCCCCCCCTTTGCAGTTCCTCCCACTGACAAATTGATCTGGAACTAATTAACCTATTTTAAGGTTCATTGAAGCCTCTTTAGGCCTAACAATAAAGGCCTTGTACTTCCAGGCAGATTCATTTGCTTATTTTTATGCAGCTGAAAGTTCTGTGTCCAGGGCATCATTGTCTAAATCCCTAGTGACTCGGAATGTGTGCTCTCTCTTCACTTAGACGACTCCTACAGTGTGTTTCACAAATTGGAGGACTATCCAGTGACAAAGTACCTACAACAACCACTGTATTTTGAGGTGGAGTTGATGGAGTCTAAAGAGCCTGACTTGTCAGTGGAGCTGGAGAACTGCTGGGCAACTACGAACGCAGACGGGGCATCACAACCCAGATGGAACCTCATCATTGATGGGTAACTTTCAAATCTTGGACTGCTAAAATGTTTGCCTATATCATGTAGCAATGTCAAAGGGAAGCAAAAGATGCTCCTTGCCCAACAAGGCAAAAAATTCCCACAAGTGAGGAAATGGCCAACAGCAGCACTATTTACTTTCTTTTAACCAAAGGTTCTTCAAACTGCTTTTTCTTGTTCCAGTTGTGCAAACTCAGTTGATCCATACCAGGCAGTCTACCATCCTGTTTGGGTTAATGCCAGAGTTCAGAATCCCTCTCACTTCAAACGCTTTGAGGTCCAGATGTTTGCCTTTCATGACCAAGATAACTTGAGTGGCCAGGTAGTTTAAAACTTTCAATACTGATTTTCTTTTTCTACAATTTAAAATGCACGTATAAAGATCTAATATTACTTTGTTCATACCTTGCAGCTCTTCATCCACTGTGATGTGGTAACCTGTCATGCTAATAAAAATCAACTTGGTGCAGTTTGTAACAGGCAATGTTCAACTGGGGAGCCTGGCAAGAAAGGTATTGCTCACTGATGTAATCTAACAAATATTTACTAATCTAAAGAAATAACAGTGCAATGCCTGGAGTACTAAATGATGTATGCTAAAAACTGTTTTCTCTCCACAGGTCAAAGACGTGCCGTTTCACATGTGTCATCAGGACCCATACTGCCAAGATAATCCTAATAAAAATGGCTTTTACAATTCATTCTCAGTGTTCATTGTTTTCTGGGGATGAGTGAATGACAGTGGTGCTTTTTGCTTGTGTCAGATTACTCAGTCATTTCTTTAAGCAATATTTAATGGAATGTTTGTGTAAAGAGACCTGAGAAACAACTAAAGCAAAGTAGCTTGTCCTTTTGGGTGTATACTCTGCAGTCTTGCATGTACAGTCATGTCTTAGTCATTGGCTTCTATGCGACAGCAGTGTTTAAGATCACATGAGTGCCAGCTCAGTTCACACAACTCTAAACTAAGTTCACAGCCTGAAAATGAGGGTTTTGGTTTGCAGGATATGGTTCTTATTACCATTGCTAACTCTGAGATGAGACAGTCCAAGTAACTTAAACAGTGCTGATTTATTCAAAGGATCACAGGTAAAATTAACATTACACGCTCGGGCATCTTGCACCTCCAAACTGCTCGCAGGCAGATGTAAGATGAAAGACCCTGAACCCACCAGGCCTATACATTATATCCCCTTGGTTGCGCTAGCCCCATACTACACAGAGACTTCTCCGTTGCCAGCTCTGCAGCTGGCCATAACGGTAGTCAAAACATGAAGCAAATCAATGTGTGTGTGTGTCGCTAAAAACATTCTCATGACCTCTAGTAACATGTGACTTAAACAGAACATATTATGGCTAAGGCTACAGTTATACACGTCATAATAATAAACACCCTGTCTGCTGACAGTCATCAACTCTTCTCTCTAGTTATCCTTGACCAGATGTACCCTGTAGAAACTCATAAGCATGACTAAGCATTTAACAGTCTAACTAGACATCCTATCTCCACTAAACATTTCTAATACATAAAGTATCCAATATCTGACTAAAAATACTTACAGGTTTTTGTATTGAATTAAAAGCTGGTCTGAGCAGTAAACTCTACCTTCCTCCCCAGGCCAATTATGTGACTACCACAACTGTAAAGTAGGCCTGCTGTAAGCATTTACACTGCACCACAATCAGATGGTACTCAGATGGTAAACAGTACTGATTTAACCCTTGTGCCCTACTTAACTCTACTATGCTCTTCACATTCCTGGCAATGTGCATGCACAAAAAACTATTTTTTTTCTCCCATAAATCTCAACTTCAGACTTGCTCAAAACTACCAATCATTCTGAGGATTTTAATCCTTTTAAAGGCCAGTTTGATTTGAATTATAAAATGGATGTTTTATAAATCCACAAAAATGCATTTCCTATTATACGGGTAATAGGGTTTTGGGGGTAAGTGGATTCCTGGATATGTCAAAAGTAAGCAAAATTTGATTGCATTAGTGCTTTTTATGTAGTGCCATTGGCTAAAAATGCCCCATTGAAACCACTTTTGTTTTGTTTTGTTACTGCCATCACGGTATTAAACTATGCATTCTGTAATGGCAGCATTTCATTTTGAAGAAAAGTAGTGATATTTGACATTTTTACTGTATTTCACCAGATTCAACCTTTTTCTCATTGTAGGCTGATGCATGGAATTCTGGTATTTTTGCCATATTATGGAGCTGTGTGACTACCAGAGGGGCCCCAAGAGTTTTGTGAGTGAGAAGTGGACTCCAGTGAGCATTTTGTCAGATTCCCCTCCCCTGTATTCTTCAAATGAATCCTGCAGCTCACTGCGTGCTTAGATTCACTCACTCATTGGTTTCAATGGAAATCAATGGGGCATTTTTGGCCACAAATGTGTCAAGACGGAGTATCTGGCACTACATAAAAAAATACTAATGCAATCAATTTTGTTGCTCATCTTTGCCATATCCAAGACTACGCACTGCCAAAACCCCATTCTTCTATTATATGGAGCCTTATGAAATGTACATTCCATAATTCAAATTATAAACTGGCATTTAAAGGGTTAAAATCCTGAGAATGAATGTTTGGTAGTTTTGAGCAAGTCTGAAGTTTGAGATTTATGAAAAAAAAGTACAATTTAAGTTTTCTGTGAATACACATTTTTGCCAGGAATGTGAAAAGAGCCTACCAAATGCATTAAGAGTAGAAGGCCCAACGGCAGCTGTACTTCCTGAGGAGGTTTGGCATGTCGCCTAGGATCCTCAGCAACTTCTACAGCTGTATCATTGAGAGCATCTTGACCAGCTGCATCACTGTCTGGTATGGCAGCACTACTGCTATGGACCGCAAGCACCTGCAGAGAGTGGTAAAGACTGCGGAGAACATCACCAGGACTCCACTGCCCTCTCTGCAGAGCATTTACCACTGCAGGGTGCATAGGAAAGCTGCCTCCATCCTCAAAGACCCCACCCACCCCCAGCACAGACTGCTCACACCTCTACCCTCCAGCCAGAGGTTCAGAACTGTGAAATGCAGGACCTCTAGACTGAAAAACGTTCTTTCCGACTGCCATCAGACTTCTAAACAGCTGACATAACTGCACACTAACTGCTGCATACAGTTATATTGTTGCTTAAAGTGCCTTAGATCGTTTATATTTCATTTGTATTTTGTGGCATTCATGTGGACGGCAAAGTAAGAATTTCATTGTACAGGGAAACACATTTCCTAACTGTGCATATGACAAACACTTTGGACCTTGAAATGACAGTAAAGACACTCATTTCATTCATTCATTTTCTACAGTTTGTTCCCCGAGCGGGGTCACGGGGGGGCCGGAGCCAATCCCGGCCGGCAATCGGGCGAAGGCGGGGTACACCCTGGACAGGTCGCCAATCCATCGCAGGGCTAACACAGAGACGAACAACCACACACATGCACAAGCACTCCTATGGGCAATTTAGAGACACCAATCAACCTAAGCTGCATGTCTTTGGACTGTGGGAGGAAGCCGGAGTACCCGGAGAGAACCCAAGCACGGGGAGAACATGCAAACTCCACACAGAAAGGTCCCAGGTAGGGCCCGAACCTGGAACCTTCTCGCTGTGAGGCAACGGCGCTAAACACTGTGCCACCGTGCTGCCCAGTAAAGACACTGATTTCAAAAACAAACTTTCCTGCCAAAAGCTGTAACAACCAAAATGTTCAAAAAAAAAAAAAAAAAAAAAAAAAA